AGGGGGGCGAAAGAGAGAGTAAATCGCGCTGTTCTCATTAGATTATACGGGACTTTTTGCGACGATTTCTTTGCTGCCAACCAGCTGGCAGCAAAGAAATTGTCGATTTTTTTTCATTTTTGCCATTTTGGGATGCTTGAGGCCTTCTTTCACTGTGACTGCGACCTTTTGTAGCTTTCTGATCGATACTCACTCAAGGACCTAATCAGAGTGTTGAAATTGCCCAGGATGACAGGGAGAAATAGCAACATAGTGATACTTGATTTCGCGTCGTTATTTCGACCCTGGAATCAAGAAGTTTGACTGCTGATCCTGTTTGGGAGCGAGTCTTTGGCTCAGTTGGTCCTGGAGAGCAAAGATCAACGGGAAATCAGAATTTGTTGATTTCGCCTTCTGTTTTTCACCGGAAACTGGCCACCTCAGGGCGTTTCCGCTGAACAGGGCAGCGAAGCTTTGGTATGCCTATCGTCCAGTCTCGTTCAGCTGCGTCCTTTGGAGACTTTATAACGGCAATAAAGCTCATCTTCTTGGTTACGTAGCGTGGATTTTGTAGCGCGGGTTCTTGCGTAGACGAACGGAAGCGACGTTCAGTGATTGTGAACTGATGAGAGAAGGTTGAGGAAGAGGGAAGGAAGAAAGAAAGAAGGGAGAGGGAAGGAATGAAGGAAGAGGGAAGAAAGGGAAGAGGGGTCTGGTCGGAGAGACAGGATGAACATGATAGATGGAGTGGAGCCCACATGCTCTCGCACTTACCAACATCTGACTGTGATCTCGCACAGTACAGTGTAGGACTACAGTAGTCTCACTATTTCTTGAAATTTGCACCAAAAGGGAATAAGCATTAGAAATCATTGATCGGCCAAAAGCTAGAATGGCTGGATCATGCCGTTTTCCTGGTCTTGATTCCAAATACTGTGGCAGCCGGCCATTCGAAAGTGAGTCATTTTTGCAAAGTCAATCCTCTTGGGCTGGAGGGCAAGGTTTAACTCAAAGAGGCGTCTCACCCAAGGATCTGACCGTCGCAGGGTGATTTCTGCTCCTCAAACGGGGTAGGATAAAGGAAGAGTACTGTACTGTAGACTGAGGGAAGGGGACAGGACAGGACAGGACGCACTGAATGGATGGGTGAAGTGGAGCCCTGGATTCTCGCACTGACCACTTTTCGCTCCCCTTGTCCTCTGACATGTGCTTGCACAAGACTGTACTGTACGAACAGGACGGTCACACCCCTCTCAGGCGTCAGCATTGTCTCCTACCAACCCACTCCCTCTCTCGACCTCGCCTTCACTCACCATGGGCCTTTGAGACACTCCTTCTTACAGTAAGGCAGAAGCTGGTACTGTACAGTACAGTACATTGGCCGGCCGTATTTTCGTCTTGTACACTGAATCTTGTCTGAGTCGGTGTCTCTCCGTCGTAGTCTGACATGGAGAATCTTGGAATGAAAAATTCATGCTAAACATTCGTCTGACATTGCCGGTAGAAGGTCGGCACGCCGATGATGCACCAGCTACGACAGTAGTGTCACAACGTTCTCTTGTAAAGCAGATCGACTCTGGATGAGACCCCCATACGAGGAGAGGCAGCACCAATGCTGCACACCAGGAAGGATGAGTTCTGGTTCATGGCGGTTGGCGACGTCCATGTCAAATGCGGTCTATTCCTACCGTTGTAAGAGCTAAGTGACTCGATCTTGAATCGTGATGTGCGTGCAGGTCTTGAATGCCTGCGGAGGTCCTCAAATCCACAAAATCCCAGGTACCGACAATCTCGAGTCGGACAGGCAATAATCACCCACGACAGTATTCATGCATCGATGATATGTCCGCCGGCGCTTTTGAACCGCCTTGTTTGTAGACTATGAAGTATGTCATCCCCGAGTTGCATCGTGTTGAGTTTGGTAGTGGCTCTGCTCTTAATCGCGGTAGCGACTGAACATCAAATAGGCATGTATAGATAGAACATGGGTGGCATTTTCCACATCTTAACAGCTTCATCTGCGTCACTGTCAATGAACTCAACCTTATCAGCCAGCGCACATTCTCTTGTGTGGCCATTGCCGACCAGTCTGCACCGCACCGTCCAAGCGATCGGGTTTTGTCTCTTGTTCTCTCTCTAGGTGTATGGGCGGATAATGTCGAGGGAGTCTTGTGAGGGAAGGCATCAGGTGGACAAGGAGGAGCCATTTTAGACGGAAAAGGACGACGCGATGCAGCGGTCAGGGTCGTCGTACAGAGGGTACAAGCGAGGAGAAGAAGAAGCAGGCATGACGTAGGGAAGGCGCAGGTTCCACGGCCGAAAACGTTGAGGCGCCTGGAGACAAGTTTGACAGGGTCGCGGTTTGCTGTTCTCGGTGAGGGAGGTGACTGTCGTGGGCAAAAGCCATTAAAGAGAAGTGGGGTGGGAATTGGTGACGATGAGATTTGCTGGCCACTTGTCAGCGGTATTGACTGGATCTAGTGTGTTCAACAGAGGAAGGCGTTTCGTTTTATGCCAATACTCCAATCTGCGAAATCGACAGATAGATTCAAACACTGAGGGTCTCAATGGATGGAACGGTTGTCGGTCTCTTAACTTCCTCTCGCGCTCCAGAAAGCACACTTTGTCTTTCAAGCGGCAGAAGTGGGAGATAAGATGAGGGCGACAAGACTCGTTAAGAACTCGTCAAGATGACCGCCGGAGGTTGATAGTGTAAACAAAATGGCCTTGTCAAAAAATAGCACGCACACACGTCATCGGCCAGTCTTTGAACCTCTGAGGGATGGGCTCTCGAAAGTGAACTACCTGTTCAAATGAAGTCGGCGCATGTAGTTCAAAAATTGTGTCGCGACACGCATGCGAAAAGCAAAACGGGATTGAAGTGGTCGTGATTGACGGCGCAGCCTGTCCTTAGCCTAGATGAATAAGCGCCCTCGGCAGGTCGCATGTGACACCGAACCTAGCCTACTTGATTGGATGACAGTGCTACTCGCCTCAGCCTGCGCTCTTTCCTGTGCCAACGGACCCGAAGGCTTCGACTCTTCAAGAGACCGACATGACACTGTGCTGATTGATGTGAGAGCGCTTGCTCTCCTCTGTAACACATGGGATCACCCGATACAGAGGCCACGAACGTGCAGAGTCACGAACAGGCCAATCTGCACGGTAAGAGCTTCGAACGAGTGGGAACGCAGGATCAATGGATCATTGACATTTTCTAGACAAACGACACGCCGTGCAGAGCGACGACGGCGACCGTCCTCACAAGATTCGCCGCTTATCTGACCTTCGACACGCCTCTCCAGATTCCTTTGTGGAAGACCTCACTCCTGAGATCCCTCTTTCGAAGCTGCACCGTCAACTTCCATCTCCGTCTGCCACAAAAACCGACGACGTGAGTGGATGCAATGAAGGTCTCTACAGGAGGAAAGATGCTGACAAGGTGACGCAGTTACATCGCGAATCGTCTCCTGCCAACTCTCCCGTACCAGAACGAAAGACAAGGTCGCCGGATAGGCATACCGAGCGCCCATCCGCAAAGAGAGCCTGCTCGCCTTTACAACCATCGGACACCGGTGCTTTTGTGGAGAAGTGGTTATCAAGCGTTCCACCTAGCGAGGAATGCGATATCCAAGACGACATGAGTCTGCCACCCTCGAAAAGATCTCGGTCCTCGGATTCGTTAAGCCGCCGTCCTTCGCAATCCGGTGACGGCACGGAATCCACGGTTTCAGCAGACAAGAAATACTCGGCGTACAAAGATGTGAACTACCCGGTGGTCTTGGAGACGAAAGGCAGTTTTATGCGGCCCTCTGATGCTGGTCTCGTGAAAGGAGACAAGACATTGTGCGAGAAGCTTCTCTCCACGCACCAACCGCGTCCCGATCATTCGTTATTTGATGACCGGTTCGACAAATTTCAGACCCTGATTCGAGGCCGATCCGAAGCTCGAGTCTATCTCGATCTGCATCCCCTCCTCGTCCCATCGGTTGAGAACCTGTCCATCAGTGGTCGAGAAGAATTTCGCGGTCTGATCGAAGGTCACAATGACCCCTGGGTCAAAGGAATTTCGTTCTATGGACCCCGACCGCAGCCGGACCGTACATACGGATTCAAATGGTCCAACTTTACCGAAATTCAGCGCCGGAAGCTCCGCATCGAACCTTTGGAGAAGTCATACTACACGGCGCGCGAGGACATCTATTTTCCCTTCCTGACTAGCGAGGTGAAGTGTGGGAAGCAGGGGCTTGACTTAGCAGATCTACCGAATGCTCATAGCATGACCGTTGCCCTGAGGGGAATTGTGGACGTCTTTCGCAGGGCCAACTGTGCCTCGGAGGTGCACAGGAGGGCATTGGGATATTCCATTTCACATGACGACCGGAGCGTGCGCATCTATGCTCATTATCCTGAGGTGCAGGGTGAGAACACGTTGTACTATCGCGAGACAATCAAAGAACTCAACGTTGGAGACAAATCGGGCGAATACAGATGGATCAGTTACCAGTTTACTCTCAACGTTTGCCAAATCTTTGCTCCGGCTCTGCTCAAGCGACTCACCGCCGTGATTGATGAGCTGCCTGATCCGCTTACAAGGACACTCGAACCGGCCAACATCGACGACCTCAGCGTACAAAGCTCGCAGGATGACAGCAGTGCGCCCGAATCCCAGGATGAAGGGTTCCGCAAACCGCAGCGAGGGAGGGGCTTGAATGCCGAGTTTCGAACCATGATTCAGAACCTGCAACGGCAGCTGGAGCAACAGCGGAAAGATTTTGAGCAACAACGGAAAGACTCCGAACAACAACGAAAGGATGCAAAGGATCGAGAGACCATGTTGGTGACTCAGCTAGAACAGCAACGAAAAGACTCTGAGCAACAACGAAAAGACTCTGAGCAACAACGAAAAGAGCTTGTGCAATTGCTCAAACAGCAGAGTGACCAGCTCAAACACCAGAGTGAACAGATCACAGAGCTTTTGCACAAGCAGTGATGCATCTCAAGTCTTTCCAGTCGTCATGTCCTCCACTGCTCAACATGGAACCCAAGGGTTCCCGCCAACCATGGGGGTCAAATTTCTACCACCACAGCCTGCTTCTGATCTGGTCAAAATGAAAAGTGTCAACCGGGAGTCAATTCCAAGATCACCTCGATTGAGCCTAGAATTTCACTTGACCGACGGAAGGACGACGAGGGTCTAAGAAGCAAGAAAAATTGCACTACGCATCCGCTCTCTGGCGCGTACATGTATCTGTTGCTTGGGGCCCGACCAACTATCGCGTTTACCCTGGCCACCTGAAGTTAGTATTCTCGGTCGGCTGCAAAAGCGTAATAAGGCAACCTTGCACCATCTCTACCGATGTCTCAAAGTCACACCTGTTTTTTGCATTACACATCGAAGGCGCCCATTGATTGGATACAATGGACTTCAGATACTGACGGGCACATAGCCCCTTCGTCATAATTATGCCGATATGTGGTGGCATCCTTCGTGCAGCACCAGGAGCATGCGTCATTGGGGCCGCTGGTCGCTGATTCGCCAGGCACGACACACTCAGGGGTCGACAATCCTGGGAAGTGAATTGTAAAGGCGCCCGACCAGGCTTGTGGAGAAGCTGTACATCTACTAAACTGTCGAGGTATAAGAGGCGCTCTGCCCCTGCTATTTTCGTCCCTCTCTATATGTCCAACTTCATAATCGCACCGCCATTCTCTGACGAGCGCAAAATGCAGCCTATTCCCAACATCAATCATTTTCTCAACGACGATGACTGCGACGTCCAGATCGAATACGGTTCGGATGTAGATGGTGCTTTTGACGTCAGGAGGAGGTTCTCCTCAATATTAACGCAGGCGCGGCAATTGAAGACAATATTGCTGGCTAGACAAGCTGAATTGGATCCCTACATCGCTTGACATGGACGACAGCTGCCGAACCTTCGAGGCATCGCCGAAACTACTCAAAAAAAGCTTCGGCAACAAACCCGCAAATTGTGGCAGTGTAAGGACGAGAACAGGTTGCTACGCATGCGGAATCGAGTTCTGAGTAATCATTCAGAAGCTGCGCGCAAAGTAATTCGAAAAGGATGATCACCTACGGTGCAAGCGAAGCTTTGAAGCGGCTGATTTTGGCGATATCTACCTGGGGCCCAGTGGTGAGTGAGATCTGGGACGTCTTGAGGATGATGGTAACGTGACGGATATTATCTCGCTGGCTAGCCACAGTGTGTAGAAACACTCGACCAGGATCCGGTATGTCGTCAGGATTGCTCCGCAGGAGTCACAACACAACTAGAGTCTAGAAGAATTGAAAAAGAGCGGCGAGAGGCAAATGATCAGCTCTTCTTGGAATTATGAAGCATAACCGGCGGGAAAACGAAAAGAGGACAGGGGAGTACATGCTGAGAAGCCTCGTGGCCAATCCGCCTTCGTTCATGCAATGTCACATGTCACCTAGTTGGGCGCTTACGTATTCCCTACGCCCGCGACGCAGATGCCACTGGGGGCCTGACAAATCGAACGTGCACGGCGTACACTACCTACAAAATGTTACTCTAAACCTGGAGCTTCACTACATCATTGCTGAACACCGGACTCTCTCTGCTGGGACTGAGCAAGACTTTGGTGCAATATGGCCGCCACTTCCAACGTTTCATCATCTATGAAGCATGTTGCCGTTACCTATCCAGTCCTCCTCGTCTCCCTCGTCTCGGTTCTGTTAGTGCTCTCACTAGTCTTCAACAAATTCAAACGAGGGCTCAGAAACATCCCGGGACCCCCTTTGGCTGCATATACCGGGCTCTGGCGCTTGTGTGATGTCGCTAAAGGTCAATCCCATGCCACAGCCAGCCAGATCCACGGAAAGTACGGTCCCGTGGTGCGAATCGGTCCCAACCATGTCTCAATCGGTAACCCTGCAATGATACCAATCATTTATGGTATCAAGGAGAGCTTCACAAAAACTGCCTTCTATCCAATTCAGTCCATGTCATGGAAAAAGAGGCCAGTGCTGAACCTTTTCTCCACCCGCGATCCAGAGTATAACCGCATTGAGAAGCGCAAGGTTGGTGCTGCCTATAGCTTTCCCAGCCTACTGCAATCCGAGGCAGCTATCGACTCCTGTATTGACTTTTTCATGGACCGTCTCGGTGACTTCGCTTCGAGAGGCGAGTCTGTCGATCTGGGTGACTGGCTGGAGTATTTTGCCTTTGACATCGTCGGAGAGTTGACCTTTGCCAGCAAGATGGGATTCATGGAACAAGGCAAGGATCTTGATGTAGGTACTTTTCTCCGTCCGCAATTGATCAAATGCTAAGAATACACATGTCAGGCCATGATGGAAGGAAATAAAGGCTTTCTCGCATATGCAGCCGTCTCTGGCCAAATTCCAGCAATACACAAAGCCCTTCTGGGCAATCCGCTGCTAGCCAGGCTCATGCCTTCAATGGAGACTTGGAATCCGGTCCTCCTTTTCACACTCAAGGTCATCAACGGACGAGCTGCCGCTAAACGAGGAGGTCAGCAAACTAAGGCCCCCGTTGAAGCTCATGACATGCTCAGCCGCTGGGAGAAGGTCAAATCGATTGATCCTCTGGAAATGACTTTGAGGGACATGGTCCTCCATGTGAGCACGAACATATTCGCCGGTGTTGATACAACCTCCATCGCTCTCCGTGCTATTGTCTACTATCTCTCTCGGCATCCCAAGTGTATGGATCGACTGGTCACTGAGATCGATACCGCAGATAAAGCAGGGGAGCTCAGCCATCCCATAAAATATAAAGAGGCTACGACGGTTCTCCCCTACTTGGGCGCCGTCATCAAGGAAGCTATGCGTCTCCATCCCTCGGTCGGCATGCTTCTAGAACGCCACGTCCCTGCCGAGGGCCTGTCTATAGAGGGCTACGAAATTCCTGCAGGCACGATCGTGGGAATCAATCCTTGGGTCACGAATCGCTCACCAGCGTTTGGCACAGACCCGGATCGGTTCAATCCGGATCGGTGGCTGACTGCAGATGAGGAACAATTGAAACATATGGACAATCTCTGGGAGTTTACCTTTGGGTCTGGGAGCCGCAAATGCCTTGGCCGCAACATGGCCATGATCGAAATCCACAAGGTCATTCCAGAGCTGCTGAGACAATACCATGTCGAACTCACACACCCAGAGCAGGACTGGTCTGTGTCTAACTACTGGTTTACGTTCCAGAAGGGGTTGATCTGCAACCTGGAGCGCAGGTGACTAGATATACGCTACACCTGAAAATCACAAATTTGGAAGCCAGGAGACTGATAAAGCACGAGGAATGTGTGGAAGGTCTTTGTTCTGATATGGTATATTGCGATGCTTATCTGACGGGTTCTACTGGCACTGTGTGTTTTCATGTACTGGACCTCAAGTCCATCTCGACCCTATCTGAATTGTTTGTAATAACTGTAGGAGCGTATTTTAACAGTCTCAAACATGCCTAGGTAGATTTGCATTGCGATACTATTGGAAAGTAGCGATTGGTAAGATAATCATTCTGATAAGAAGTCATAGTAGCTATTTCTGAGCGCGGAGGAAGAGAATCCGTTAAAAGTTACATGACGAGCAGCGACGACATAGACGCCGAGTTTCATCCTCCTGATTAATGAAGGGACCACAAGGCAAGCAGCACTCCAGTTCCCAGAAGGGTTAACAATCTTCCACTCCTAGGGGCCCCAGCAGCAGAGTTGGCGCTACCTGACGCAGTGTTTGTTGGTGACCCTGTAGATCCTGCCATGGTAGAGGAGCTGGCAGTCCCGATCGCGGTCGATCCTGAACCACCTTGCGATGTCGAATTCTGCCACTTCTCCACCACGAACTGTACTACATCGGTATCGTATGTTAATGGTGCGAGATTGTGTATCGTGTCGTTGTTGCCTGAATCACAGTAGCGATCGCCCCTGCCGCACCATGATCCCATGAGGCCGCTGTACTGGTTACACACAGTGGTATTCTTCCGTGGGAAGACCTTAACAGGAGGTTAGTCAGGGATATTGCCCAAAGCGGTCATTGCAGGATATTGATTGCTTACACCGTCATGAACGCCTGTCCCATGATCGTACGTCGTGTTGGCAATGTGTGTTGGGTCGGCGATGAGGGCGATGGCGATGACTGCAAGTCATGAGCTGCGTTCTCTAGAAAATACTGACATGTAGCTATTGTGACTGCTCACCGTTCTTCTCCACTAGATCTGGTGACAATGGTGCATCACTGTTAAAGTCGCCGCCGGTGCCGCCACAGAGGGCATCTTGGATTACTTGAGCGCCCTGCAGCCGACGTATATTAGCATCTGTTACCTCCTGTATCGAGTCTTGACATGTTGGACGAACCTGTGAGTAGCCAATGAGTGCAATTTTGGAATCCGGGCATGCTGAATGGTACTGGTTCACCTCCTCCACGATAGATTTTGCTCCCGTATTCTCTGACAATTCGTAAGCAGTCAAATTGAGGGCCCCGGTGGCCGTGGGATCGGTTGCCGGGTAGATAACGCCAGCGATAATGGTGCCTTTGATCTGCTGCGCGACCTGAAGAGCAAGTACTCCGGGCGAACCGGTATTGTCAGGGTAGGTTCCTGCCTTTGGTGCGACGGCGGGTTCGCCTGAACCACGGGCACAGAGGATGTACAGGCCTTCGGCACAGGTCGTGTTCGAACTGGCGGCCGTAGCTGTGGCAGCCAAGGCGCCAATTACAGGAACAAAGACTCCGCGCATACTGATGGGGGGGTAAATGTAAAAGAATACTCTTGTTAGTACCACGGTATAGTATGCTGTTTGAATAAATATGATGAGAGCAGTACAATCGTCAAAGCATTAAAGAGCTCTTGGGCAAGTTACTATAAGTAAGAGTGGCTGCAGATCTTCACCAACCTGCTGTTGAAGTTTACAGTAGATCCACATCTGTGTACGTCAGCTTGCTAGTAGAAGAAAAAGCCTACGCCCAGACTATAGCTAGTTCCTCACTCACTGGTGAGCTCTGGTGAGCTCCTGCGTTGCTCAACCGTTCTAATGCTTCATCCAGGCTTCAATTCTCGAAATATTGGCTAAAAGAGGAAAGGCATAAGACGCTAGGCTAGGTGTATCCAGTGTAGCAACCATTCTAGCTCCTTAACCGTGAGTACTGCACCTTCGATGTCGATGAGGTGTTACTGTACGAAGTAGTCAAGATGTACATTTTTAGTACATGTACGAGCTGAGCTCCTTACTGGCTGGGTATTGGAAGACGAGCAAAACAATGTTTCCGTACTAGTAGCCCCATTGGGACAGATTCAGCTAGACTGCGTAGGAATTACAAATAAATCACTTTGAGTAAAGGAGCGCGGGTCCGGGCGTGGAGCAGCAGAGGCTCGTTGAAGGATTTAGGTGATTTGGATAGTGAGATTGAAGGTGCACATGTGTTTCAGAAACGGGCATTGGAAACCAGCTCCTTTACGTGCTTCCTTCGATTGATTAAGGTCACTCCGAAATTCCGCATCGGACCAACTATATGAGATACGGCCGGTCCGCTTGCTCTAACCAGTCGTCCCCGGACACTCCTAACGGTAGACACACAAAAGTCGTCTTCTCATCCTTTTTCCTTGTCTCGGTCAGAATGCTCTACAATCGTAACTTCATCCATGCACTTGTCGCATTGTCTGGAATTACCGCCCCCGTTCTAGCTGGCCATGTGAAAATAGATTTTCGAAAGAGTGGTACATCGACGGCAGTCTCGCGACGAGACGCATTTGCTCTAGCAGTATCTGAATCTCCTGATCGATCGGTGCGTTCTCACGACTCTTGAGGACATACTACTAATCCTTATAGTTATACGCTGTCCACCTCGAGATCGGAACACCTCCTCAACCCTTTGAACTTCAACTTGATACTGGCAGCAGCGACCTTTGGGTTCCCTCGGTTGGAGCAGAAGCATGCCAGAGATCTTCCAGCGGCTGGTACATCATTTTGAATCGTTTCGGGTCCACAAGACTAATGAACGTCAGTCCTGGGGGTGCGTTCAACCCCAATAGCTCTTCTACCTGCAGCATTGATGCCAAAGACTTCGCCATCAGCTATGGGTACGTCGTTTGCGAACTCAGCCATGGAAATTTGAAAATTACTTCGGCACTGTCGGCCTTGTAATCCGTTCTCTCCACACCTTTCAGGTCTGGAATGAAGGCCTACCAACACTACCTCCAAGCCATGTTGATCTGTCTTGCATTTCTAATACACGGCGATAGGGACGGGACTAAAGATTCTGGGTACTACTTTACAGATGTGGTGAAGCTGGGACAGAACACGGTTCAGAATTTCTCAGTGGGACTCGCAACTACAACAGCTGATGGGCCACAAGTCAACAATAGTGGGCAGGGCATACTCGGGGTCTCGTATCGGCAAGACGAAACGGCTGTCGATAACGGGCTACAAACCACTCCCACTATCTATGAAACCATGGTAGATCAAGGGCTGATCGACAGATCTGCGTATAGTCTTTACCTGGACGACGCTGAGATTGGAATAGGCTCGATTCTCTTCGGTGGCATTGATCCCGGCAAATACAAGGGTGAGCTGGTTGTTCTACCGCTACAGCATTTGAATGGAGCCCCCCCTGCATTTTGGGTAGCTCTCACGAACATCTCGTTTAGCGATGGTGAAAACACCTACCCACTGACGGGAGATGGCTTCCGTGGCGACCTTGCGCTCCTCGATAGTGGTACAACGCTTACAAAACTACCGAACGAGGCCTTTAACAACCTTATCCAAGGTTTAGGAGCCGTTTTAGGCGACAGGACGGAAGGGAATGCGGTCGTTCCATGTTCCCTAAGAGATGACGACAAGACAAGCCTTTATTTCCAGCTTGGAGGGGCTGATGGCCCATCGATGGCAGTACCCTTATCAGCTATCATCGATTCGAAAGTTCTTGGGACTGTTGACGGAACAAATTTCTGCCTCCTGAGCGTGGGCCCATCCCTCGAAGGGCAGACGATCTTGGGCGACTCCTTCCTACGTTCCTTCTACGTCGTCTACGATATCACCAACAATCAAGTCGCGATAGCAACCGCAGTCCTCAATTCGACAGGTACCTCCAGTATCACCAACATTCCCACCGGTACGAGCATTCCAGGCGCAACCAGCACGGCGACATTCATGTTACCGACGACCACTCCAAATGTCACTAGCACCATAGCCCCTGTCACATCATATGCTGGACCAAGCTCAGCAACCTTCAGCCTTAGCGCCTTCTCAACTTCAAACATCGCGTCAACCTCGACTACCGCCCGTCCTTCCTCAAACCAAGCCTCATCCCGTAGTACCTCGGGTTATGGAACTTTGTTGGGTTCGCTACTTTGTTTATTCTTAGTAGCATAGGTGGATTCTGCAAGAACAGGTGTACGTAGACTAGTGTCGAGGTTACTACGGCTGTCTTCGAGGTATGTGGTTGTTGTAACCTCTTGTTGTAACCTTTGACATCCCAGATTAAAAGGAAGATAGCACGCTACTGCACTATGTCAGCAAAGATGCATAGGAAGCCCCCGGTTCACCATAATAGGATGAAAGGGACATTTTGGGCTTAAAAGACGTGGTCTAGCAATGTGAGAGGGAGCATGTGGTGCGAATGAGAGCAGAGTGGGTTAACGCATGGAGTTACACCGGGGTAGAACTCTCGCTGCCCTCGACGGAAGGGCCTCGGCAGTTGATCGTAATATCCGCACTATCTGCACTTCGAGTCCCTGAGGTGGTATTCCGCCGCAAAGTTCGCGAGGGGCTGAAAAAAGACCCAACAGGCTTTGGAGCGTCAACTAAAGTGCTACAAAAGGACGAAACAAGCCCCACACAGCTGGATCTCTTCGGCCCGACATTTTTCGTTGTACATCTCAGGCCTCCCAAGAATGACAAATAACCATCCATTGACTACGACTTCGAGCAAGTCGCAAGGATCACGGCGTCTTTGAGTTCTCTGGGGTGTATTGGGTGGTCGCCTGGCTAGCTACATCCTGTGAATGCGAGAGGGCCTCAAAGGAGATTAATATGTTTCGTACCCTCTTGAGATCCGGTGCGCATTGTAAGGACCATCAACCTAAGGGTCATTTTTAAATGGAAGGTCAAATATGCCTCTAAACGTACCAGCAACAATCGCGACCTTCGGAAAGGCGTGGGGTTCAAAACAAGCTGGTCGAAAGGACTTCGAGGCCGTCGGGGCTACACTGGCTCTAGGTTAGCTACTACCAAGTCTATGCTTTGCTAGTTGAATCCGCTAATGCCAGCGTCAGGGTCATTGTCATGGGTGCAAGCAACAATTGGTGGCACATTCAAAATAGTCTCATCCCTGCGAGGCGTGATGAATTGAGCTTCTAGAGGATTCGAGGAGAGTCGTGGTAAATATCCGAGTAATTTGCAGTTCCCAAGTGCTCTAGCCTTCACCCAGCGATACCGTGGTCTGGAGATGCCATTAGTCGGACATTACTCCAAAATCTTGTGTTGGGTTAAGATGTAGAAGAAGGTTAACCACCTGTCTTGCACGCGTACTCTTCGTAACCATCATCCACTTCTAGTTCATCATGGATGATCCGCCTTTGCAAAGTTGAATGCTCAAATAGAATATGATCGCATAGATTCAGGCGATATCTGCCATCGTCGTAGCCTCCGTCAGGGTGTAATCGACGGTATCCTGCTCCAAGTGACGGTTTCCGGTCCAAATCAGCAGATTGTCCAACGAGATCACCAAGCCGTAGCACAGGGTGACGGTCGGGAGAATCCACGGGCTTAGGAAGAATGCACCGAAGACCTTTGATCCTGGTGACACAATCATCGTCGTCAGGAGCGCCAGCCCTGCCCCAACAATGAACCGAACGACAATGCTAATTATTTCATGGCGAGTCTTGTGTGTTTTACCAAAGTAGTACATCACAGATAAGAGCACAAGGGTGCATCCGGCAGCGATGAAAAAGTAGAGGTATACAGTGCCAAACACTGCTCCAATGCTGTTTAGCTTCCCGTTCCCTGTGACTGTGCTTTGAACCTTTTTAACGGGCACTTCAATGTCTAGATTATCAAATATCCATGCGTAAGTGTTGGACACCATCACGTCGACGATATCCAAGGCCTGGGCTAGGGTGCTATTGTCAGAGTTGTCGGTGATGTTCAGGGCCTGAAGCTGGTTGAAATACTGGTCATAGTCCAGCGGTGCCACACGGGTGAAGCGATTGGACACCTGAATGAATGTGTCGTTGAGATTTTGTATGAGCTGCGGCCCATTTCCCGCCTTGTCCATAGAATCTTGAACTTTAGCAGCCGTCCAGTCGGACAGCTCGATCCCAAGTCGGAACAGGATGAATTCAGAGCTTCCTTCGACCGTGAGGAGTATGCTGACGTGCAAAGGAAAGTGCAAGAGACTCCATATCTGTTGGCGGATTGTTCCGAAGCGATCGTGGTCGATCTGATCGAAGTAAAGCATATAAAGGAAGTACTATGGGGGTTCGTTAGTACGAACAGCGCGCGGTGGAAGGCGTCGTGCACGTGGGGACTGGTGACCGGTGACCGCTTACAATGATGAGAACGGCACAAACCACCAGACCGATTGAGCCACCGGTGACGGTTGTAGTTCCTTGCATAACATTCGATAGGGACTTGGTCATCCCGATAATGCCTTCTCCGAGGATAATTAGGGTCAAGAGACCGACTCGTTCCACCAAGCGTGTATGTCTGAAGCTCAAGATCCGCCACCGACTGGATATGGCCAGAATTACGAGTGCTTCGACGACCGACACCACATACCATCCGTCTTGGGCGCGGCCTCCGTGTTGAGGTCCGAAGCCGAAGGTCATCCCGAGAAATATCATCGCTGTCATGAACAAAGTTCCGATCGTGCAAGCCACAGGCGGGATAGTTCGTTGGTAGCTCCTGACAAACCAGAGCACAGTACAATATTGGACAGCCAGGATGAGACGGGAGATCATCATGATAATGCTGAGAGACTTAAAAGCTCGATTGTCCCTCTCAGATTGGTCTGTTTGGAAGATCGGCCCAACGATCGCAAATCCAGTCATCACTCCCAAGTGCAGAGCCTTGCACACTCGAGAAAAGACAGAGTCGATTGAGAATCGGACATCGTAGAGGCTAGTTTGAAACCAAGTGAACCACAGAAGTGTAAAAAACCCCATATAGCTTGCCAGTGAACTGGGTCATCAATAGGATGATTGCTGGTGAATGTCGCTAAGTTTGCGACGAAAAATAGGTCGTAGAAGAGTTCGATACTGGAAGCTTCATGATGGACGCGAAATTTGGGTTCAGCGCCGCTATGAAGGTGTTTTCCCATCTGCGAAGGGAGTTTGATTTGCCTAGGTTGCTGGTTCTCCGCAAGCAGATCAAAGTCAACGGCGTCAGGAGGTACGAGTGATGGGGCGGTGCCATTGTGAGAGCTCAGGACGGCCCTTGGGTTGGACTCTGGGATGCGGTTGACGAATTCAAAGGCTTTTTGTTGTAGTTGTTTCTCCTCCAGTGGAGATTTAAGCCATGGAAGTGTTTGCAGGCGTCCTGGAAGGTGCTCTTCCGTGTATTGACGAGAGAGAAGATGCCGAAGTTTCATGATTAACGACAGCCTGTCCTAAGGAACGTCAGCACGAATGCACATTTAGGAGAGAAGCGCAGAAAAAGCTTCAGCTGGGAAATGATACCCATCGTTAATAAGCTTGGGCATTCGGGGCTCAAGGCACTCTCTACCCATTGTCTCCCGACTCCAGAATCCTCCAAGAATAGCGAAGCCGGCTGCTGATCATTTCCGAACGCCTTACGCGGCCATCGTTCCGGCTTTAAAGTTAATCACGTAATGAAGTAGTAAACGCTGCAAACAAGGGACGTCTGGGCAGCTGCATGCTCAACGTAGCGAAACTGATGCGGCAATCTTCCTGCTCCGTACATACAGACGAGATTGCCCCGATGTAGCAAGTATTTTAGACATTCGGCAAAGGGTTGTGCCAGTTCGACACTGGAACATATCAAAGCATAAATAGTGCGTGCCGGTTTTAGTCTCGTTTGATTGAAGTTTGCTTTGCGCCTCGTAAAATTGAGACATGTTGTCGTAGACCTGCCTGTTGGATGCCACCTACTTGCTCAGGTCACGGATAATTGTCTTGTATAAACAGTATATGGTCGTGATGGGTGCGGGTGCAGGTCTCCAGGGAAAATAGAGCTTCTAGTAGATACTGAAGAACTGTGGATATCTTGCCAGAAACGATTGGCACAAAAGGCATGATTCTTGCTAACTCCGACAAAGCGTTCCAGGGCCCTACCATCTTACAGGGAGTCTTCCATTCCGTTCCTTGCACCAGTTGGAGACTGCACAAACTCCCGGGCCTCCTTGACTCGAGAGGGGGCCATTTGTCATTCGTGCGCAGATCAGGCCTCATGGAGTATAAGTAGTGAGACTCGCTCCGTTGGGGGTGAAAAGCTTGTTCGGTTTAAGCGGAGAACGTCCCCTGTCCTTGTTCCCGCCCCCAAAAGCTGAACTCTGCTTTCAGCCGGCCCTACTCGTCTCTAGATAAGCCTCTTGGGATATAGGGCGAATCAGATCACGCGGCCAAACATGTAAGAGCAAAAGTGGAAGCACTCAATTCGTGTCACTGTTTCGCGCCATAAGGCCATTTCCGACTGGCCTGCTGTTGGAGCGCTACCAATTATTGCTCTGCTGGTGGCGTCTTGCTTGTGGTCTCATGCTTGTCCACATCTGGCCATTAACCTGAGAATTGAAATTTGGCTGAAACGCTAGAGCAGCTGAGGGTTGCAACAGCGGATACTGTGCATATCAAAAAGTATAGCCCTCTTTCTGGAGCACAACCTGCACACCTCCCGATCAGAAGCTGTACACGACCAGTTGTCATGCTACTATTTTGGAAATTGGCCGCGTCCTTGTTGTCATAGAGTCACTAGAAGCCATGTTCTTGGACGGGCGTCAATTTATGTCAACAATGAGCTCTGCCACGCGGCCTCGAACGTTACAGAGGTGCCTGACGGGCCAATGAAGTCCAAGGTTCTTTACATAACGGCAGTATGCTCACACGGCGACAAGGGGGCAAACCATCTTGAGAGCAAGATCCATTCTGCGGTTGCAGACTAGCCTACGCAGCGTGGGATCGATTGGATGTGAAGAGGCAGGTTGAGAAAGGCGAGCTGTATTTCTTCATTCCCTTACCCAAGGCCCTCTATGGCTCGAAGACATTCCATATCCACAAGGCGTCGTCGGAAGTAATCACCCGAATTGGGCTTGCCATGAGTGCAGTGTAGATCCCGGGAGCCGGCTCACGCTGTGGTAACGGCATCTTGCCGGCCGAAACACCTTGCGTCCTAAATCCTTGTCAGTTGATCTGGTACCCGAGCGGCATTCGCAAATATTCTCACTCTCCTTCCAGAGTTCGGACCTTCATGAACCACAGCATTTATTCCCCTCGGATTTTTCCGGCCTGTGCTATAAATCGCTTTGTCTCTGACTTCCTCGATCTTGTCAAATATCTCACGATGGCTTCCTATCTCATTACCGGATGTTCTCGAGGACTAGGTCTGAAGCTGGTGCAGAAACTGTTGGAAAAGCCGTCGTCCTCTGTTGAAACAATATTTGCAACGGCACGTAGTGAGCAACCATCACAACTACTTCAAGATGTTATCAGTGTTGATCCTAGTCGCGTCAAATATGTTCGGCTTGACGTAGAGGACCCAGCAAGTATCGAATTGGCCCTCGCGCAAGTCCAGTCAGAAAGTCAGCCAGCTCTTTGGGCCAGTCGGACCCTACAGCTGCCGGTCGTCTTCTTTCGCGTCGGTGACCATGCGACCGTTGCAATTCCTTCGTCCTCCGGCTGCTGGCTCAGCTGTTCAAGGTAACAGCGATATCTTTGGCACTGCTGCTGAAAGCATTCCTGGAAGTATTCCCAGTCTGACGCCTCCCCCAAGCAGCTCTGCGTATCGAAACCAGGATATTCGCCCTGAGACGTCGATCTCAACTTTCACGACCACTGGAATACCTATTGGCTATGAGGGGATGGACGACGTTTTACGGGAGGGCACAGGAGAAAACCTGGCCATGGACCGGGACATAGACACTGCCCTGGCGGACGATTATTTGCTGCAAATGATGGAAGACACTCTCCCCGTGTTCGGCATCTGGGAAGGCACATAAAGCGACCATTCACGGCTTTCCACCCACTCATGAACAGACTCGGCCTTGTACTCTCTCTTTATGCAATGTGAATGTCTTGTACTCTCTCTTTACGCAGTGTGAATGCCATACCAATGTATCAAATTGATGTATTGCTGCAGACATAAATCGGAACCCTCATTCCCTGCTCGCCCCTGCTACTATCGCCGTCTTTGCGACATGCTAGACGCATCCCTCCTCATTTTCGCAAGTTTCTCCGCGATATGCGCCAAAGTGTCGTTCTTCCCGATCTTCTTGAAGCCATGGGTTGTTAGGAACGGATGACGGAGACGCACTATTGCTTCCCAGCGTTGCAATGACTTCCGAGCAGCCAAGATAATTCAGCTCCGGAGATTATTTGGGGCCCGGAAGCCCCAGAAGAGGAGGTGTGGGGCTGCGATTCACCTGCATCGGAACATCCGTGCCCAGAACGCCATCTCTTGCACTGAGAAAGTCCTTCCCACACACCAAATTTACATTCGCGAGCTCCGCATCGGAAATGTTGTAGAGGGCGCTTGGGCGGAGAGATTAGTGTAAGGCAACAAGAGATGGGGTTGCGGGTCGCGGTGGACCGACTGACCGTCGTCGTTGAACGACATAGGCCTCTTCCTGTGGATATAAGCCTTTCGAGGTTGTTCTATCAATCTACGGAAGTAAAAGTCCTCCACTGGCAAATTCCTGAGTCGGCGGATTGATATAAATATCTTACCTCCAAGTCAGGAATACTTCATCAGTAAGATCCTTCTGTACCTCTCAAGACATGGGGCCTTCTCCCTCGACAAATGGAGTTCACTCTGATCCAACACCGTCTCAGGCGCAGTCGTCGTGGGTTCCAGTCAACGAACAACCAGCTTTTAAGCCGCGGAGACTGAAATTGATTTGCATTGGCGCAGGCTTTTCCGGCCTTCTGCTCGCCTACAAACACAAATACGAGAAGGGCTTGAAGGAATTCATCGATCCAACCATATACGAGAAGAATCACGATGTCGGAGGGACGTGGCTAGAGAACCGATACCCTGGCGCGGCGTGCGATGTAAGTTCATCTCGGTACTACACATCTCATTCGGGATGCGACAATAACACGTCAATTCTAGGTTCCCGCCCACATTTATACTTTTCCATTTGAACCCAACCCAGATTGGAGTTCCTTCTACGCCGAAGGCCCGGAGATTTGGGAATATATCAAACGGACGACAGTCAGGTACAAATTGGACGAGCCAGTACAGTTCAACTCTAAGGTGATTAAAGCGCTTGGGATCAGCCCTCCGGCAAGTGGAAGTTAAAGATTGAGAGACAAGGCGAGGCTATTGAGAACGAGTGCGACATCCTTGTCAATGGCTCCGGCATCCTCAACAAGTGGCAGTGGCCGAAGATCGCCGGCATCGACACATATCAAGGCAAACTAATCCACAGCGCTCATTGGGACCAAAATTTAGACTGGAAGGGCAAACGAGTCGCGATCATCGGCAACGGATCGTCGGCCATACAGATCCTACCTCGGATGCAGAAGGACGCAGCTCATATCACCACTTATATCCGTAGCCCGACGTGGGTTACCAGCAATTTCCTCTCCCATTTGACTAAAGCTGGCGGTAACTTTCAATACGAAGAAGAGGAAAAGCGCAAGTTTCGCGAAAATCCCGAAGAGTTTCTCGAGTACCGAAAGCTTCTCGAGCATCATCTCAACATGTTCTTCGTTACTCTGCTCAAGGACTCGCCTCAACAGGCCGAAGCGTACAAGATTTTCAAGCAGCAAATGGAACAGAGGCTGGAAAATGACGAGCTCCTTTGCTCCAGACTCATCCCGAGCTGGCATGTAGGTTGCCGGCGATCACCCCGGGAGAAGGGTACCTCGAAGCTCTCCGCAAGAACAACGTGGAGATCATCTTCGATGAACTCGAAACCTTCACCACTAGCGGAATCAAGACCAAGGCCAACGAGCAAGTCTTTGACATCGTCATCTGCGCGACGGGCTTCGACGTCAGCTTTTCTCCCTACTGGGAGCTGACCGGAGTCGACGGTATCTCTCTCGCAGACCAGTGGAAGGACACACCGGAGTCATACCTCGGTATCTGCGCCGCCAACATGCCCAACTATTTCATCTTCAACGGCCCCAACTGCCCCGTGAGCCATGGAAGCCTCTTGGCGGTGATGGACTCGATTGCCGACTACATTCTCAATTGGTGCAAGAAGATCGCCACCCAAGACATCAAGTGAGATTCCTTGCCATCGCAACGTTCGACATCACCTGCTAACCTGTGGTCTGATTTAGATCCGTCCTCGTCAAGCCAGACGTCGTCATGGAGTATAATGCGTACAGTCAGGAATTCCTCAAACGGACCGTGTGGACGAGTGGCTGTCGGTCCTGGTACAAAAACGGCAAAGACGAGGGGAGGGTCACGGCCATGTATCCCGGGAGTGTCCTGCACTACAAGGAAATGTTGGAGAGCTTCCGCACAGAAGACTTCAACTACGAGTACGGGAGCCCCAATCGTTTCCGATTCATGGGTAATGGTTTTACCGTTCACGAGACGAATGGCGGGGATCTTGGGTACTATCTTAAACATCAATCTTCAGCTTAGTCAAAAAACACCACACCAAGCTCAGAAACAAAATTTTCGAAAATGCGTAGATTTCTCGATCTTTCTAGCAGACCAACGTTATATTAGGCTATTATCATGATTAACGCGTCTAAAACGTGTAATTTCGTAGCAATAGCGCCGAGGTAGCCGTCGGGGATTCCGTAGGTGAGCGATGTCTATTGACCTTGTTGAAGACTCAGTTAAGATGCCCTCCGATGTGGGATGACAGGGAGAAGGATTAGTCATTTCTTGGTCATCATTGTAAATACATTTTCGGAATCTCCCTCTGAGAGTGTGTATATATATGTGCAGGACGAAGCCATGATTGTGAAGATAATAATAACGAGTTAATGAAGAAAAATCAGGAGCCCGAGCATAATCTCATATCCTTAACAGATCTTCAGTCGACAACATAAAGAATCGGTTCCTGGATGACGAGTACTACGCTACCAAAGACTACAATATCTCCGACATTGAGGTTCCCATGGCAACTGGGGTGGCATCTTATTGCACCTCTGCGGCAACGTTGAAGGCTGGATGAACGCTAACTCCAAGTATACGTATCTACGGTTTGTCACTGGTCGACATGACTTACCCTCCTACACCAAAGAATGCGCAGATATGCAACGTAACTTCCTCGATACCCCCCTTAAAGGAAATGATCCTTTAGGCTGTTCAGGGGAGAACAATCTACGGTATGACACAAGGTCCAGATGGGAGATGTTGGGTACAATAACGCGGCCTGCCGAGACTGCTTGCCTAACGAAATACGACACTCAATGGTCTATCCTTAGTACAAAATACACTAAATACTACTTAACTTTATCCCAGGGTCTGCAAGACAAACCAAGTTAAGAAGAAGGCAAGCTCTCTTACGATGCTCTCGGAGATCTAAAGAACTAGCAACTAGCCTAATTCATCAGCGTGCCTTTCGCAGAAGAAACCGAGTTCGCAAGTCATGTCGTGGCACATCTAAACGTGCCCGCCACTGCTGGTGAAGAATCGATAATAAAGTCAAGCGATATCGACCTCTTCTTGACTATCCGACGCTTAAATGCCGAGAGTAAGAAGATTCTCTATATCGGCACATTCGGGGACCCGGTCCCAATCAGCAAGGGATGTCTTCGGGTCGGTCTGCGAAAGGTCAACGGAAAGAGTCTCAGACATCAAAATCCATGGCACCCACACGGAGAGGATCTGTCCACTGATTACTCTCCACTGGTCCCTGGCGAGGTGTACCATGTGGATGTCGAGATCTGGCCGACAAACGTGGTCATGTCGCCCGGTGATCGTCTCTCTTGACCTCGGGTGACACCCAAGGTGCTGGATTGCTCGAGCACAATTCAAAGGACGACAGGAGTGAGGAGATGTTTGCCGGGAACAACCATGTTCACTTTGGGAAAGACTGTGAGAATTGGTTGTTGATGCCTTTGGTTCTGACGAAGAAGAATGCATGAGAAGTCCAAAAGTGAGATACTATCTAGATGATATCTACCAAGAGTGTAGTGAATATAGATTTGGTTTGATTTGGTTTGACCAAAGAAGTACCGTACATCGTGAAGACTGTTTCTGTGCTACAGGCTGTCTGGTGACCATCTCGGACCAAGTTACCATTCTTCTCCAACTTGATATCTCATGATTTGATCATTCCATCTCCCAGCCGTTGCACACCACAATCCATTGATATTCTAAATTTAATTGTGATTGGTTTTCCAGTGCTGAATTCCTCTTTTTTTAACATTCACTCACCCCCAATAGCCACACTCCCCTAAACATGATCACCACGACACGACGGCACTCTCGACGGCGTCGTGCCCCGCGGCTCGATCAGACACTCGATGCGTCCGACTTAATTCTCGATAAGGCGGCATCCTCCTCCCATCCCGAAGGCTATTCTCTGTCTCCGTCTGCATTTCTTCTCGTGTCAGGCTCTCTCGACGCTTGCGAAGTTGGCCGTTGCTGGGGTTGTTGGGAAGATTCGTTCTCAGCCTCTTTCCTTCCGCTCTCATGGAGATTGTAGACACGAAGACTTCACGCAGGATGGTGGGTTCCAACACTGTTTCATGATTCACCGGAGATTGATCATGTACGGAGTAAAGGCTCTGGATTTGAGAGGGTTTGTATGTGTAACGAGTGCACCCAAAAAAGGTCACACCGGGCGCAGTCCAAACACTTTCTACCTCGTACGAGCAAGACAAGGTACGACTCCATGGGTGGACATCAAGCAAGTTTTCTGCAGCTCGTCAATGGCAGTTTCATCAGCCAAGATGATGTTGAGGACGGGACTTCTGGATCAATTCCAGCCGGCCTCGCCCGCGACAATATAATACACCGGCGTAGACGAGTGTTCATTAATAAACAGAAACACAGGAGGGCCGGGAAGAGTTGGATCCCAGGTCACGTGATGCTCGCTGCAGGCAGCATCACAACTAGTGGCAACTGCCTACCAGGCGGTTGCTGCACTAGCCAGTGCCGTATGGCTATAAGTAACTTCCGTACCCTCATAGGTAGTTCCAAACATCATCACACTTGTTCTCACTTCAGGGTTTCTACTGGAAAGGTCTGACAAGTGCACAGATACAGGACGATTATTAGAACTATAGATATAGGGGTACTGCGCTGGAGCCAAAGCAGGAAGCCATTCTGGGCAAGGACTGCTTGTCTTCGTGGAAGCGAGAGGGTGGGAACGCCTGTATTTATAGCTGGACGCTGCATAACTGCCCTAGGGCGGTTGGGACAGACTATGAATCAATCAATCAATCAATCGAGTCCATATTCGTATTCACATTTATTCGCCAAGACTTATTCATATTCGTCTTTATTCGTGAATATTCACATTATTCGTATTCATTTCGGAGCCCTAATGCGGAATGATTCCATGAGACTTCATGAATGTCATGCATGATAGTTGGTTGAGCCTCATATCACAACAAAGCTTACCTCTAAAGATGCCGCACTCCATTGATCCGCAGAATAAACAGTCTTTGGGCCAGGTCGCAGTGTTGTTGGGAATGACTACGCGGCCAGTTCTGCATGATATCGCCGGACGACGTCAACAAGTAGACTAATTACATTCTCTGGTCAAGACTCCAACCTACTATAACGTCGAGACAACCGATTTTCTCGCTCCTGCTGCGGACGGATGTCAGAAACCAATTCGTCGCTTCGCGAAAAAGGGGACAAAAGAGTTCCGAGCCCGACGGCGAAGAAGTCATAGCGGAACCATCATTCCAACTTCTCAAGCACATTCCTTCGGCCATAAGCTCAACCAGGAGGTGTATTGACAGGCTGCTCTGTTCGGCGCAAATGAGTAACGACTGATCTCTCACAGGACGAAATCGCCGTGAAGAGCGCTGGTTCAACCCTGCAACTCGTAGGCTCAGCCGCCCGCAAGACTGCCCGCGAGACTCCTACAAGTCACAATAGCGACCCGCTACTCAATTCAAAGGTCTCCCTCTCCGTCGCATATGCTCTAGACCTGGGTCGATACTGTTCTCGGTCGATGTTGCTGCATTATCACGGCATGGGTCTTGTTCGGTATCAGTGACCGGTCGCCCGTAAGATTCAACGTGTCCATCGTCCGAGATTGATACACATGACAATGAAGGAGAGCGGAGATACTGATCGAAATCATTGGTGTCTGCTGATGGAGATAAAAATTCCGGGAAAGTTTCAGTGCTTGTCGTCTCGCCAGCATGACCACTAGGAATGGGAAAACTGATGAGAGAGATGGCTGAAGAAAGTCCCACAGAGATGTCCGACAATAAGGGATCATCATGAGCTTTCATCTGCCAACGCTGCTCAAGCGGAATCACACTCGAATCGTGCTGAAACTCCGCTTCATCGAGAGGAGATGTGGCCGAACACTCTGGCCATTGGGGGACGGGTCGTTCCCAGCAACGTTCGACCAGAGAGTCGGGTGAATCGAGAATTGACAGCACTCGAGGGGAAATTGTTGGACCCCTGGGGGAAACCTTCCTTCGTAAGCCGACATGGGTAGATGACGAGCTTCTCGGTTGAATCGATGATGAGACACACCCCGGAGCAAGTCCTGAAGGATCATCTCTGTCGGAGATATTCCACTTGCGGGTCACCTGGTCTTTAGAACTAACGGACTCGTCCTGGTTAGGCTGATCGCTCAGACTCACGCTGGCAGCTTTACGGTCTCGTTGTCGGGATCGCACTTGGCTCAGACAATGGTCGTCGACAGGAGAATACCGGCAAGGCTGGGGAAGGTCTCGAATGCCACGAGGTCTCCCTCTGGGCCTCCCTCTGGGCCTCCCTCTGGGCCTCCCTCTGGGCCTCGCTCTCGTTTTCCCAGTAGGCTGTGTTTTCTCCCGCTTCTTAGACGGATGCTTCTTCGGCAAAGGCACCACTGCCCCTCCCTGGGTACGCCGGGTCGAGATATGTCCTTGGACAATTGCAGGAGAATGATGTCCCTCTTCTTCCCTGGTCCACCAATTGGCCGGTAGGGGCGGGATCTCGACGACAATGTTGTTCTGCCGCTTGCGGCCTGCTACCTCCGAGAGCTCGGATAGTTTCGTTTTCTTTCTGGCAAAAGCGGAAGAAGAATCCGAGATCTGTCTTTTCTTTCCATTTTCTTGATCGGATTGGAGGGGGATCACGACAGCGCGAACTGTTTGCCGCCTGGTGTCATAATCTCCTGCTCGAGATGGGGTTGTGCTGTCTGATCCGCGCGAGAAAACATCGTCTTGACAGTTGACTCCCGATCCTGAACGATTCTGGGGTGCTCTTGTGTCTTTAGACATGACCTCCGAGTGTAGCGTCGCCTCTGGAGGAGGCCTATCATCCATGAAGGGCATCTCATTGTAGTTTGCTATCCATGCTCCCACCGAATCTTCCTCGTCGGAGTCGTGTGCTTCAACGCGCTTGCCTTCTGTTACCTCTGAAGGCGGGCCTGTATTGCTTGGAATTTTCAACTTGTAAGTCGATCCCCGATTGGTCTGATCCTCGAGTTGTTGCTTCATAGAGGCTGAGGTTCGGTGTATAAAGCCATCATCTCCCTTCGGACGGGTTGTACTTTTTCTTTTGGAAGCATACCGATTTACTCGCTTCTTTTGTCCTTCTTCGTGAGTCGATTGGTCTCGTTTCACCTGCTCTCTTTCTGCGACAGTGAAAGGGATCTGGTGGATGTCTGCGAGGTGTTCAAAGAGCTCCTCCCAAGATGTCTGTGCCGCAAGATTGGTGCAGCGTGGATGGGAACAAGCCCACCGCCCACGCTCGCGGAGGCTCATGTGATGACGAACATGCATTTTCCACTCGCTCACGTTCGTGTACTGCCGGAACCTAACTTCGGGGTCGGCAGTCTTGTCACCGAGGCATTCTGGGCAGAATCCCGGCCGCAGGAGGGTATGGCGAAACTGCGCAATGTTGCATTTCAGCGGCAGAGGACGCATTTCCTCACTGGGTTGGAGATGTTCCACCGCGTGATGTTTCCAAGAGGCCAGACTGCCGAACCACCTGGAGCATGGGAAACAGAATTCTTGAAATTGCCCGACTTTCTTGGCCGCTGCCTTACGGCATCGGTACACGTGTGACCACCATGTAGATGGGTTACACCTGCTATACAAACGTTAGTGGCATTCATTAGTCGTTGACAGTGGCAATCCGGCCACGTACCCAATGCGCTGTTGATGGCAAGTGTCGCATACGTCGAAAGAACTGTTGAGCCCCCGGCAGTACGTTTGCGACTTCTTCGTCTGGAGCAGTCGGACCAGATCGTCCATGATCATCATCCCGATCCGGTCACGGAGACTTCCTTCCTTGAATAAGTTCTCGGCTAGCCGATCCCGCTCAGGCATCAACTTCCTCGTGTAGACAAAGTCCGACTCGTAGAGAAAATCATCAGATATCATGAACTCTGCAGGTGGACAGGTCTGGTGATTCCTCAAAGCCCGGTCGCGCGTCTGGCGTTTCTGATCGTAGACTCTCTGTCGCATTTTCATGTCATATCCGCGTTCATCCACAGGCGGAATTGCCTTCTGGTCAGCCGCAGCCGTCCCAAACTCTTCTTCAAGTTGCTGCCTTCGATAATCAGGCAAAGTCGGCCAATGGTTGTAGTTTCGACGCAAAGAGTACCCGCGAAAGAGCTCATGGAGCCGTTGGTTTTGACGGTCAAGTTCGAAAAAGGTGGCCTGGCCGTCAACCGTGCTGATCGTGGATTGGTACGCTGCCGCGTAGGTGCCTTGATTGCGGTGAGCGCCGAATCGCATACGTTCATTGATGGAATATCCATAATCTGGTCGGTCAGCGCCCATGTTTCGGCCATACGCCGGCAATGTCCGCACTTACTGTCCACTTTAAACAGAGCCTCCCGACGAGATGCGTGAAATGTGAGGCTTTCCCGAAAGCCTGTCCGGTAACCCGCGTCCGGGAGCGCGTGATCGGCCAGAGACGTGGAGGTCAAACTTTCATCGACTGAACCGTCCGCGAAACACCGTGGGAAAAT